ACTCTGTACAGCAACAAAGGAGCATTTAGACCTTTCTGAAAACATCAAATAAAACCCGCATCATAAAGAGCATTGTGAACAGGTGTGTAAGGAATCTCCAAGGAATAAATACAGTAAATAGGAGTACAGAGAAGTGTATCATTGCTTAGAGGTAGATGCATAAACTTGTTTCTGGAGAAAAAAAGAGGGAGAGATTGGTCAAGTGTCAAAAGATAAAACTCATCTTCAACGGACAGAGACATGCTCACACATGGCTGAGATTGCCTTGCACTGAGGACTCAAAGAAATATCTGTCAACACATATAAGACTTGAAAATAGAAATATATAGAAATACAGAAATTTTCGAATTTGGAGAAAGCTATGAAAAAAATCGTTAAACTTCTGTCTTGGCATTCATAAAATCCATAGGAGCAAAAGAGAGTTACCACTAGCAAACTTATTTTACAGGTTTTCATCCTGCCAGCCAACCTCTGAATGATATCTCTCAACGTAAATTGTTACCTTGTGGTTGCATTTTGTTTTGGAAATGATACATACAAATTTATTAATATAAAAGAAGAAAAGAGCAGCTACAGGAATGTCTGTCACATTGAGCTAAAAAGATGTCTTTAATTATTTTCTTCCATCAACAAACATTTTTATATGTAGAAACAAGCTAATTACAATTACATGCAGCATTTGGTAGAACACAGACGGCAAACTCTTACCTCCTTCTTGGTAAACTCTGGTGGATGGTCGTTTTTGTCATCAATAAGAATAGTGGCAGTTGCTGTGCCAGTTAGTCCCACATCAAGACCACCCATATCCTTAGCTTCTATAACTAGCTCGTATTTCGGGGTTTCCATGGTCTGAAAAAATAACAGAAAAGGAAAGCTTAAAAAAACTCCCCAAACCAACAGATTACACGCTACTTTTAATTCACATTAAAATAATAAATTAAAAAAATCTAAAACTTAATTTGGCCTGATCAAACATAGCATAGAAACGGATCTGTTATCACAGTGTTTTACTTCAGCTTCTACAATGGAAACCTTATTTGGAATGCAGTATGAAGGAATACAGGTGAATATTGGTAAACAGTACATAATCTATCCTTTTATTTAAGGAGATTAGGAAAGAGGAAAGAAATTAAAATATACCTGCTCTTTAAGACTAAGCACTTACTTCAGTGCACCAATATTGAGCAGCTTGCTTCATCAGTGGTATGATGGGTACATAATTAAATACTAATGTCACAATCTACATATAAATTCACTTTATTTTATTAAATCACATTCATTCTGCGTATTAGCATTTAGAATGGTAATCTAAGTTGGCTTCACTGTAAGAAACAAGAAAGCAGTTTCTAAAATGGGCAACAATTGCCAGTTATTGTACAAAGCAAATGCATATAGTAACATTAACAATTTACATCTATAATACCCAATTCCTGCGTCATGGTTACTTATCTGGCTGCCTACCTATTGTAGAACCAGACAGCATAGGCCCATAGCAAAAGCAATCCTTAGTTTCATGCAAACCCTCCCCCAAAAGAAAGGCATAACTTGGAAAAAAGATTTGTGGCCGCCGTTCTGCAATGGGAATGTGACAGCACTTCTAATTCACCTCTCTCGCATCAGGCATAAAAGCACATCTGTTTGCAAGCTGGACAACACGGTGGTAATACATCCCATCAAAGGGAGCTATTATCAGCATCAGAACCTGCTCCTCTAGAACTCATAGAGAATTTTGACATGGATTTCACTGGAGACAAAACTGGGCACCTAATTAAAAATAAAATTTTCCCCATTTGTATGGCTGCCTTATATGGAACCATCTGCCCGAAGACCATATGGGCTGCATCATCAATGGAGGACACAGATGGGAAAGTGCGGCAGTCACCTTTAAAACTATATGGTAAGAATATCATGTGTGCTCAGCAACGGTTCTTCACACCTTCCTTGAAAAATAAGTCTGCATCTCAGGGGCAAAGTGACATAATGATGCCTGAAAGGGTGGCTAGAGCACCACTGCTAGAGGGCTTTTTTAACCTCAGACCAGCTCTATCAGCCAACCGTGTTTACAAGAACCAAGGCTACGCATCTTTGACATTCTATGTCCTTCATCTAACACTCTTCCAGAGAATTAACACGCAGGGAGACAACTGGTGTGAAATTGTAGAGCAACACAGTGATCTCTGTGTACCACCCATACACTGCCTTACAAAGCAGAATCAAAGAAGCTGAGGTAGGGTTTATCCCATAGCAGAGAACATAGAATAGTTTGGGTTGGAAGGGACCTTTAAGGGTCATCTAGTCCAACCCCCCTGCAATAAGCAGGGCCATCTTCAGCTAGATTAGGTAGCTCAGACCCTGTCCAACCTGACCTGGAATGTTTCCAGGGATGGTACATCTACCACCTCTCTGGGGAACCTGTTCCAGTGTTTCACCACCCTCATTGTAAAAAATCCCTTCCTTCTATCTAGTCTAAATCTACCCTCTTTTAGCTTAAAACCACTACCCCTTGTCCTATCACAACAGGCCCTGCTAAAAAGTTTGTCCCCGTCTTTCCTGTAGGCCCCCTTTAAGTACTGAAAGGCCACTATAAGGCGCCAGAGCTGGACACAGTTCTGCAAGTGGGGTCTCACCAGAGCAGAGTAGAGGGGCAGAATCACCCCCCTCGCCCTGCTGGCCGCACTACTTTTGATGCGGCCCAAGATGTGGTTGGCTTTCTGGGCTGCAAGCGCACATTGTCGGCTCATGTCCAGCTTTTCATCCATCAGTACCCCCAAGTCCTTCTCCACAGGGCTGCTCCCAATCCATTCATCCCCCAGCCTGTATCTCACAACTGAAAATTTTAAAATATTTACTTTTCATCTCTTGCTTAGCAGAGCAACTTCTCGGGCCACACAATCTTGGCTGTAGGTAAGTGATTTGAAAGCATTTACTCAATAATGCATTTTGCATTACACATTTTCCTGGGTACATCACAACATCTTTCTTAGTGCATGCATAAGAAGGAGATCCCAATTCCTTAGTACTGAGATCTTGAAGCATTTTTAGGCCATGAGAGAAGCAACCATATCAGTTGCTCATCAGATCAGCTATTAGGAAGTGATATATTTGTATGTAAAATCAATGAGTCAAGCTGGAAGATATATTTAGTTCTAAAAACATATGGACTACTAGAAAATCAGATGCCACTGCCACTTAGGGGATCCTGAGAAATGTATTTCCTTAAGTCTTAAAACATTATTGCATGAAATTGCATCATGAATGCATCATGAAAATGCTGCATCTCAGAAGGCAGCAAACCCAGATCGGGATTTTGATTTATAACATCATAAATATACGCAAAGAAATATTACTGACATGTCTCCAACACAAATGCAAATTAGAGAGTGGAACAAAATTTACAGTTTTCATATGTTTATTTTCTAAAATGTTTTCAATGTATTAAAACCTGAACGGAGCTTCTCTCTCCTCTCCTGGATACAACTTTTTCATTATTTTGATTAGGAAGTTGTTATTATTGTATGGAAAATTTGCAAAGCCATTTATCACTTCATGTTTATAAGCCTCTTTGCTCAGAAAGAGGACCATTTTTACTCACAAATTGGCCTTTTTTCCTTTGAAAACTATCCCATTTTCTATTGAAAGCAAGCCCATTTAGCAGAAATTTCTGTGACAGGAGTCCAATGTTTAAGCTCACAACGGAATGTGAAAAACATTGAATTTTGAGTAGTATTTCATATCATTATGAACACTTCACACTTTCCAGCTATGCAGCACTTTCTACATCCAGTTCTGTCACCAAATATTTGCTTTGTTAGAGAAAGCAACTCCTAACAGATCCAAACCCGAGAGCAGAGGCACGTTCCCATCAAATGCTCTCTTTACACTAGGAGATTGCATGTAAAGGACATTTTAGCATCTGTCATGCTTCTAGCCAAGTTAATTCAGGCAACTAGTAGCAATCATTTGGATCTGTGCAATTTATCCCACTACCGGTAAATCCTGGAACACGGGAGTGGGGATCTATGGACACAGGAAGGGTCTCTGTGCTCTTACTAACCCGGTTCCGCAGCTGATGGTGCTGCAGAGGCCCAGGGCCTGTGCTGGCGGCATTCCCCGGGGTACGGGCTGCACTGCAAGTGGTCATGGCAACTCCTCGTCTTCTCCCTCTTCACAGGGCTCAGGCCTTTTACCCCAGCACGGTGTCTGCCTGCACTTGCTCCCATCTTGCGAGAAATGAGTGCTCCCGGAGAGGGGCAGTGCAGGAGAAAAGCAGCCTTCCTCCACCTTCTCCATCCCTGCTACACTGTGCGGGTCAGAGGTAAATGCAGAACTCGCTGTTGGTAGCATTTTGGGATCCTGCAGTTGCTCAGACTGCTGTCCCGCCATGACACTGCCTGTCCCTAAATCCAGGCCCCCCGCTTCTCAAAGCAGCGACCTAGCCTCTGAAGCACGCTCTTGCAAAAACAATCCAATTAATACCATTTGGATAGTGAGATGTTAGCAATATAAATATGTAACAAATCCCAACAAAGTGGATCTACAGCTAGAAAGGATAATAGATTACTTTAATAAATGAACATTAAGTCGCTGTTTGTGTGGCTTATTATTTATCAACTGTGACTTTGTGGAGTGTAACACTGTTGAGACGGTTTGTATAATTACAGCAGGAGAACCATTCCTTTCCTCATAAATTTTCACTCTAGTCATTTAACCACGGCAGGGGTGACACTGGCAAATTGTTTGGTTTGCCAAGGAGGTAAGCTGTGTCTTGAGGGTTTTTCTTTGAAGGTCCACCCACTGCCATTCTCACCAGTGTTAACATTCCTATCAGATTTCACTCCCCTGCTGCCTTGACATAACTGGTTCAGCACTGGTAAGCAATGAGAAGCCAGAAAGGCACTTTTTTAGATTTCAGATTCCTGACAAAGCCAGCAGGATCTAATCACAAGTGAGAGCAATAAACTGTTCAGTGCAGACACAGACAGGTGGAACAAACCAAGTGATTACTTTTAGGTAGCACTGAATGAAACCAGATAATGATGGTTTTCTGTTGAGTCTTAATCTTTTAATATTTCCTACAGATACAATAAAAAACTATCAGTGACTTCAGAGAAGCAAGCCATGGCCAGTATTTGACACCACCAGCAGGAACAGTACAAGTCTTGGTGTGGGCTATCACTTGCAGGCTGTAAGGCATTCATGTGCCATTTAAATTCAGCTGGAATTGACAGCATCTTCAGTACAGCAGGATTCAAAATGTAAGACGGAAACAAGTGGAACTACTTGCACGATTACAGGAAAAGTTTAGAACCCTTAGGTGACCACGGGTATTTTCCAACATGTCCAAGTCCTGAATTTGCAGTTATGTACACGGACTCTCAGAGCCTTGGTATTGCTAGAACAACAACAAATCCCCTCTCTGTCCAAAGCTTTTAGAAATGTGACCAATGTATCCCCCCTTGTTTATTTATCTGGTAAGGAAATGCAATCACTCAGGAAGGTGATGTTCTCACTGAAGCCTGGCTTTTTTCCATCTATCTTTAGACATTCAAATTAAGTGTCTACTTTAGTGTAGCATCACTGCCATAGAGTCAAAGGACAGAGGCCATTTCTGTATTTGTCTGCACTGACGATCTCAGGAGCTCAGTGCTCCCTAGTGCATATACCTTGGTGCATGACTAAAGCTGGTTGATCTTAATGACTTGATAAAGACCACAAAAAGTAGCACTAAAATGAGGATCAGAAATCGCATTCTGGCACTTTATTAAAGTAGCATAACCTAGCAGTGAATGATTAATTACATCTAGTTTCAATGACCCTGGTAACTTTACCCTTGGTTGTGGGAGGAGATA